TTAGTAATCCAAGTCAGGGTAGGTTGAGTCATCAAATAATGAGAATAGTGATGAGGTGGCAGATTTTGACAGGGGTGTGTATGGAGGTGAAGAGAGAGGGTTGTTGGTCAAAATAGCTTTGTCAGCACTGAAGGAATCTACCTGGATGCCCCAAAGAAAAAGCAGACTCAGAACCCAATATACTTGAATCACTTTAGCCAGGCAAAATCAAGAGGACAAGGGACATAGCAGGGGCAGGCTCACTTAGTAAGATTCTGGAAGTTGGAAGCAGAGGAGTTAGATAAGGCACCAGCTTCAGGGTGAAAACAGAACAAAATGGGCCCTGGAAGGCAGATCACAAGCCAGAATGTAAGATCTGGAGTTACACACCTGCCTGCATCCACCATTTGACCCTGCTCTAGAGATTAATATCTTCCCAGGCGGACTTTCTGCTTTCCTCTGGAAGGTCTTAACAGCAAAACGTCAAGAGCATCTAAGAAACATGAAGGGCCGAACATACACTGCATGCAAAGGAAGGGTGGTAATCAAGGCAGCTCTGCAGACACTGTGAGTCTCCATTAAAAATGCTTAAATTACAGGCTGAGAGATGGCATGGTAGTTAAGGCACTGGAGTTCCTCCTGGCAGACCACAGTTCAAGTCCTGGACCTGGTGGCTTGCTCTTTCACGCTTTCTTTGTCTCCCTCTGCTCAAATGTAATAATAACCATAATAGCAAATGAAGTTAAATAAATAATTCTTTAAAAAAAAAAGACTGTTTAAATTCCCAGGAGAAAATGTCTAGTTATTGTGAGTTTATGCCTAGATCAGTCAAGTCTCTCTTGGAGTGAAGGCAGAGCAAGGGATGCCATGTAACACAATAGGGTCATGGGGGTCCACTTTATGTATTAGAGCTATTCCTGGGCAAGGAAGGATCCTTGGGAATAGAAGAGTGCTCCAAAGTGAGTTGATCACAATGTCCAAAGCAGCATTCATTCATTGAGACAGCATATTATAGCAGAATGATTTACAACACAAGCTCGGGGTGGATGTTTGTAATTAGTTCCTGGCTTTGTCAATTACTTTCTTCACCTGTCCAAATAGTTAATTAGAGCACCTATCGGCGAGGGCTGCAGTGATTATATTAATTCATGTAATGAGTCTAGGATAGTATCAGGCACATAATAAGCACTCAATACATTTTAGCTATTCATTTGATGAGCACTGATTATGCACTAAGTACTCTGTAAACTTCTCATCATCCTTTAGCCTAAACCCATTCCGCCATTCAGTAAGACATTCAAGGTTTTCAAGCCTTGATCCACTCCAGTCTCAGCCAGCCCATATAATAGACATTCACATGTGTGTCTGACCTGAACCCAGGGCCTTTCTCGTGGAGGCTCAGTTGTATTACTGCTGCACCACACTTGGCCCCGTTGACAGGATATTCCTGTCCTAATTATTAACTAGAAATGTGGGCCAGGGGCCAGCAGGTGGTGTAGTGGTTAAATCACTGGACTCCCACAGGGTTGACTGCAGTTCGAGTCCTGGACCTGGTGGCTTGACTCACATCAGGCATATGTGTGTGCATGCCTAGAAACTAGGAGGGGGAGGAGGAGAAGGGATTGTGACATGGGTATCCGCCCTTTGAGGGTGATTTCTCACTTTTCCTCTCACCGTCTCTCTCAGTGGGGAACAAGGACACAAGAGCCCTATGACAAAAACCTTAAACAAACAACAAAAAAGGGAAATGTAGGTCCAGCCTGGCGATGAGACCCAGCCTGGTGGCCCACTAAATAACAAACTGAACTGCAGTCTGGAAGCTCCTCAGAGTGGGATCCCCGGGTTGGCCTGATAATAAACCAGTCATGCCCAAGAGCTTGATGAGTGAGGAGGGAAGGGGAATCTTGGCATGATGAGACTCTCTTTCTCTCTTGCTTTTTCTCATTCATGTGCTCTTCATCATGAATAAAATAAACTTTTTTTAAGATATAGAAGCATTCTTAAACTTCCTGCTCTTCCTCGCTGCCCACTTCTAAATATAGGGTACCGCGTATTAAATGACTGTCAACTCCTTCCCTCTTTCATTCCTCACTGTTCCTGCCTCAGTCAAACCTTTGATTCTCATCCCCAGTATTCCAGTGAAACCTACCATGTCTCCCTAATGCCAATGTCACTCTCATCTAATCTATTTTTAACTTTTTCTTGATACCACGTTGTTAAAAATAAACAAAAAACAAAACCACATATCTAACAGTATCACTGGTTTGTCCATAAGCCCCTACAGGGTTAACACACAGCTCCTATGCAGCACACGGGCCTTGGTGACCTGAGGCCTCAGCTTCCAGCCCTCGCTGCTGCCCGCACTGAACAAGCTGGAATTCCCAGACCAAGCAATGCTGTTTCACTTCTCTATACGTGCTGTTCCTTCTGCTGGGTCACCCACTCCACCTTCTGCCTGACAACTCCTCCTCCTACACTAAATTTCATTATTTAAACACTTCCCAACACTTAAATGAGTTAAGCCAGTGCACTGCTGGGAGTACAATGACGACCAACACACTCAGTCCTGTCTTTCCCATAGAATATGTAACTGAAGCTCTTGAGGGAGAAATAAGGCAGGAAAATAGAGGTGAAGTCTCAAAGCTAGCATTGTTTCCATTACTAGTTGGCTATCTTAGAGCATTGGGGAAATTTCACATATTCTGGCACCAAGTCCAAAAGCAGATTTCAATCTCAGTGGTAAAGGGTAACACAGTGGGTCTGTGTATAATGCAAAGTCAAGAGATGGATTTGAACTGTAAAAGCAATGATCAGAAAGTTGCTTCCGGGGACCAGCAATTAGCGTAATGGCTGTGTCGCTGGACTCCCATGTAGTCGGCGGTTCGCGTCCCGGACCCAGTGGCTTAAACTCATGCCGAGCGCATGTGCGTGCGTGCCCAAGATCCCGAGAGGAGAACAGAGGAGAAGGGATTGTGGTGTGGCCATCCCCCCTGGGGGGGTGATTTCTCGCTTTCTGTCTCTATGTCTCTGTCTGTCTGGCGAGCGCACGCGCCCTATAGCGAAAACCTCTCAAAAAAAAAAAAAAAAGACTGAAAAAAAAAGAAAGTTGCTTCCATGTGGAGCTATAAAGTTATAAACCAATAATTAGTCAGTTTTAAAAAGTGCCTATCAGAAAGTTCCTGCAACTGTCTAGGGGTAATAATAGAGCAGGTGCATGCCCTCCTCAGGTCAGCAGCAGTAGCATGCCATCTCTGCTATCCAGGAGACCAAAGAGAAAGTCAGGATTTGGTTCTAGGTTCGACTAATAGACACTGGTTGCATGCCTCAATCCTGGCAACCTAAAGTCTTGGAGGTGGTGTCAGATCTTGGTATGAGATCTGTTGAAAGTATTTGTCTTTCAAGAAATAAGTTAACTTTTAAAAAGCCATGCCTTTCTAGTGCATATATTTTTAAATCATGCATTGAGTGGTTAATAGGCTACCTACAAAGACAAGCAGGTGACTAAACCCAAAACCTTCCAGCCATGACCAAGACCATTCCAAACCTTTGATTTGCATAAGCATGTCATGTTGGAATAGAGTCTCTACTCTCTTCTAGCACTCGTCTCAGTAAATTAGATTTTCTAGTGTATGTGTCGACCTTCCTTGCAGGTTTTTTGTTTTTTGGATTTTGTTTGTTTGTTTTGTGGGGGTTTTTTTGGTGTGCGTGTGTGTGTGTGAGAGAGAGAGAGAGAGAGATTTTTACTATAGGGAGCATGCATTTGCCAGAGAGACAGAAAGAGAGAAAGCAAGAAATCACCCCCAAGGGGGATGGCTATGCTACAATCCCTTCTCCTCCTGGGATTTTGGGCACATACACACATGTGCCCAGCATGAGTTTCAAGCCACCAGGTCCCAGACTCAAACTGCAGCGGACCACGTGGGGGTCCAGAGCCTTAACCACTCTGTCACTTGCTGCCATCCTGCCTCCCTCCCTCATACCATCTTTAAGGTCCTTGTCATCAATATCTCATCTTTTCCATGATTGTACAGCCAGGGTTCAGGGAAGAAACTGGCCCAGAGAAAGCGTCTGGTGACTGTTGCCTGGAAGCTGACCTCAGCTCAGCTCCAATAGCGATATCCCCTCTTCTGCTATTTGTTGAGAGAGGGGACCATCCCTTTCTTTATTTCTTTTCTATCTATCTTTTCTATTTGCCAGAGGGCATGTTCACTCAACGGAGACAGAGACAGAGAGACAGAGAGAGAAAGAAGGTAGCCCTCCCTCCCTCTCCCCCCCCCCCATGGAGCATGGTCTTGTGGCAATCCCTTCTCCTCCATTTCTCCTTTCTTTTGTAATTCTGGGCACGCACACACATGCCTGGCTTGATTCTCAAGCTGCACATCTGAGACTGGAACTGTATTGTCAGCCATGTGTGACCCAGTCACCATCACCACCCACCCACAGGCTGGCTCAGGGCAGTCCCCTCTTTGGAGCTGCTCCCCAACTACAAGGGGACCTGGCAACCTAAACCACCTTCTTCAAAATACGGCATGTGGTTTTAGCACTAACTTAGTAAAAACAAACTGGCCCAACTATTTTGATTTCAGAGACTGGCTTAGAGTCACCATGTACAATGACATAGGTCTACCGTACAGTGAAAATAAAAGCAAAGGGGTGATTGAAGAATGCAGTTAATTGTCTCGTGGGCTTCTGTGGCAAAGCACATGATCTTGGTGGTTATCTCAGATCGGCCTAGTGACCCTAGCTGGTATGTTGTACCACCAGGCCCTTTGGGAAACTGAAAACTTGAATTGTTACTTCCTACACCGCTGGCCCAGTTTAGCAGCACACGCACTTCCAACGATAGTCTTATTTGATACACAGAGCAAACCTCCCTTTTCAGAAGTTCATTAACAAAGTCTCACAATTAAGAGAGCGGCCCTGTGACTCATTTTTGGATACCCGTGTGGAAATAACAACTCCTCCCTCTGCTGAGAAACGGCTGAAACAAGCGCGTGAGAAGCACAGGAAGTCAGACAGACCTCAGCTGGTGTCCACGGAGTCGAGAAACCCAGAGAATTCCCAGTCGCGCGCACAGCGTGGTTCTCGTAGACCCTGCCACTATTTCTCCTATCCCCAGTCTTCCAAAATAAGTCTTATGTGGGCTTGGGAGGAACTACAACTTCTCTTGCCTTATCAATTTCTCTGCATTTCCTGGCTCCTGAGTCATATTGTCCAGTTCAAGTCAAGAAGTACCCATTCTGTTTTTTTTTTTTTTAAAGTTCACCCTAACAGGAAGTGAAGGGATGATTAAATTAAAATAAAAGCTTTCACTAATTGTAAACAAACAAAAACCCTACAGTTTTCCACTTAAAACAAATATAGTCTTAGGAAGATACTTTATAAAGCTCCCTACCAACAGGTGTCAGTGAAATAATTCCCGTGAAGCACTAATTCTCAGACCCTCGCCCTCTGAAATTAAAAGATGATGCTAATAGGTCCGCTCCATCAGAGAACCCCAAAGCCTGGTTCCCTAAGGTGACTAGAGGCGGCCTGAGGACCTGGGTCAGGTGCGGACGCCGGAGGGAGCGGCCCCCCCCGCCGGTCTCCGCGCACAGCCCAGCCGGGGCTCCCTGCCTCCTGGAGCAGCCAGGGAGAGACACGGAGCCCCAAGGAGAGAGAAACGAACCAGGACCGGCAACGACGGTGCGTTCCGAGAAGTCCTGCCGGGCGCCGTCCGGGCGCTGCGCTCCGCGATGAGCACCGGGACCTGCGGCGCGACTCCCGGCTCCCGCGCCTCCGACGGCCCAGGCTGCGCTCCTCCACCGCCGCCCGCGCTCCG